TTGTGGATGGTACACATGGCTGACAAAGGTAGAAGGACTCAATGTTTTGGTTCTGAAGCCACAATATTTGGATGTCTGTTAAGCTAAATTTATGGTTTATTGTGAGCCCCCAGGTTATTAATGCTGACGGAATTCAGCAATGGTTAATGCCGTTGGATGTCAGGAAATGGTGGCTACAGTGCTGAATAATAATTTTGATGATATGGATATGGGTATTGAGAGAACCAGAGAAAGTGGTGTATGCTGTTTTGAGCTCCACCTTGCTGAAGATGATCTGTTCTAGTCTCTGAATCTCTGTAGCAGCATTTTCAAGTAGGCTTGGGATCCAAGTCCCATTTCAGTGATTTGAACAAAAAATCTAGCCTAAATAAAAACCGAAAGAACTGCAAATGCTGGAAATCAGAAACAAAAACAGAAATTGCTGGAAAAGCTCAGAGGGTCTGTCAACATCTGTGGAGAGAAATCACAGTTAATGTTTCGAATTCAGTAACCCTTCCTCAGAACTTGTTCAGCCATGTTTGTATCTATGTTCAAGGTTCTGAGGAAGGTCAGTGGACCCAAAATGTTAACTCTGATTTCTCTCCACAGATGCTGCCAGACTTGCTGAGTTTTTACAGCAATTTCTGTTTTTATTTCAAAATCTGACCCTCTAGAACTGTAATCAAGTTGTGCTCCACTGTTGGAGGTTCTGTATCTTGGTTAAAATATTAAACTGAGGCCTCAAGTGCCAACTCAACTGATTGCAAAGGATCCTCCAAAGAAAGAACAGGAGGAGAATTCTTCACATGTTCCTGACCAATATTTATCCCTCAACATGTGTCACACAGAGAGATGAGCTGGTCATTATCTCATTGCTCCTTGTGGGAGTTTGCTGTGTACAAATGGTTTGCTGTGTTTCCTACATTACATCAGTGATTACACTACAAAATTACTTTATTGGATTTGAAGTGCTTTGGCATTTTGTCAGGTCAACAAAGATGCTGGATACATTCCAGTCCTTTTGTAATGTCAGCATAGAACCAGTCTAAATGTCAGGGTGGATTTATTTTTATGCAGAGTCACTGATCTATGGAACACAATGGTGCCTCATGCAGTGAGTGTGGATTGGTTGCGAACATGCGGAAGAGAGCTAATGCATTCCCAAATATTTCTGATATAAGCAAGTAAAAGGTAGAACCGTGGTTGGATGTTGAGTGATGTGTCTTCCAGCCATCATGAATGCCTAGAACTTTAAAATTGTTTTTCAACTCTGAGAGGAAGTTCACAGGGTTTTTTCTTTAGCCAGTAACAAAAGTATGGCCATGGAAAACTGCTGCACCACCACTTTCAGAAAAAAATGTGCTTTAATTTGGAAAACCGTTCAACTATTCAGATTGTTGGGTCGTAAGTTAGCCATTGTAAATAGATGGGCTGAATGGCCTCTTTCTGAAACATAACAAGTTTATGATTCAGTTGTTTCTTCCTGGTTAAGGAAGCATGAGGAAAAACATTTCAGTTATATTATGCTTTTCACATTGTACAAAAGAGTCGGCAGCCAATTAATTGTTTTGGAGTCAATCACTACATGGAAATGATGAATGTTACAGTAATGTTTATCGTAACATCCAAAAAAAATTGAAATAGCATTAAGGGATTTTATAGTATGGTGTTAATATAGTGGGATGACAGGCCCAGGTTAATACTTTGGGACATGAGTTGAAATCTCATCAGTGAGGTGAAGTGACAGCCTAGTGGTAGTGTTGCTGGACTGTTAATCCAGCGGCCCAGCTAACGTGCTCGGGACCTGGGTTCAAATTCTGCCATGGCAGATGGTGGAACTTGAATTCAATAAAAATCTAGAATTAAGAGTTCAGTGAAGACCATTAAACTATTGCCAATTGATGGAAAAACCTATCTGATTCACTGGTGTCCTTCAGGCAAGGAAACTGGTCTGGTCTACATTCCAGTCCCACAGCAATATAGTTAGTTGACTCTTAACTGCCCTCTGGGCAATTAGGGATGGGCATAAATGCTAGCCTAGCCAGAGATGCCCTCATCCTGTGAATGAATAAAGTGCAGTTTGTGGATCTTAAATTTAATTAATAATTGAAAACTAACCTCAGTTCTGATGACTATGAAACTATTATGTTGTAAAAGCCTACATAGTTCACTAATGTCCTCTAGGAAAGGAAATTTGTTGTCCTGTCCCAGTCTGTGACTTCAGATCCACAGCAATATGGTTGCCTCTTTCTGAACTGCTCTTAACTGTTTTCTGAAATGGCTTTGCTAGCCAGTCAGTCGAAGGGCAATTAGGGGATGGGCAACAAATGCTAGTGATGCCCACATCCCATGAAGGCACGAAGAAGCATAAACATGGTCAGTAAAATTGTTACTGGTGGACTTGGGCAGAAAACCGAGGAAAACGCCTCATCTATACGTTTCCCTGTCACGATTTCCGAGCAGGCAAAAATACCACATACACCTTGCAAATTAAGCAGGAGTTACTTTGGAAAACGTTGCCTACGAATGATCTCATTGTGATGGAAACAACTGACTAAGCTGAGCTGAGCTCCTTCTCACTGCGGATTGAGGGGTTCCCATGGGACAACCCCTCCTGAGATTTCCAAAGAAAAATAATGTCGCCCTTTTTCGCGACCGCTAGACGTCCCAAAGCTGCTTAACTGCCGTCGAAGTACATTTTAAGTGCAGTCATCGAGGAAGCTTGCCAAGGAAGAGACAATTGAGAACATATCCTCGAATATCTGGTGTGTACTGTTCACAGCTTAATGTGCGGAATTGAGAATTGCCCCTCCAAACCTTCCACTTTCTTTGTGCTTCGATAAATAGCCTCTTGCTGTTGAGATTATTTCTGTTTTGGCGGGGGGGGGGGGCTTCTCTATTTTGCATTATTGGAATTGAAGGGAATTCCCCTCCCACATCCATTCCCTGTGTTCAACTTGGCGGGTGAGAGATAGTCCAATTGTTTGCACCAGAGCGAGCTAGTGGTGGACAGAAGGCGTGGGGACGGATTTTCCGTTGCACGGTTGCGAATAAGCTCTATCCGCGGTAATGAGCGGAAGCCGAGCCGGAGCGGGGTTATGAGTGTGACGCCAAGCAGGGCGGAAGTGGCGCTTGGCGTGGGTTCCAGGTGGAGGTTTGGAGCGAAACAGTAAGAGTTTAGAGGAGAGGGAGAGAAAGGAAGAGGAAGGGAGGAGGAGGAGGAGGAGGAGGAGAGAGAGTGAAAGACAGGAAAGGGGGAGGGGGAGGGAGAGGGAGAGGAGAAGTAGAGGGAGGGAAAGAAGAGGAGGAGGAGGAGGAAAGAAGGGATGGGGAGAGAAATGATGAAGGATTGGAGATATATGGGGTAGGGGGTGCAGAGATACCAGGTGAGGGGAATGGGAGGCAGAGATGTGCAAATAGAACAATGTGTGCTGAATGTAAAAGGTTGCAGAGTAAATCTTAACTAATTAGATACACTGTAAGGGTGCCAGTGACAGCCTTAAATCTGGGAGGGTGATGGATTGGGCCATGCCTACTCTGTGTTCAACATTTTCTGGTGTTTCTCTAGAACTTCACTCTGACATCGCCATCTCTGCCGCATTCGTTGTGGAGGAGGACAGTGTGTGCTGAGAGAGTGCACGATTTGCTGGCCTATTTTCTCTTGGCCAGCTGAGCTTTGTGTTTTTGCCATTTCAACAGCCACCCCCACCAGAGGGCACGGCTATTTGTGATTGTCTCCAATTTGTCAGTATCTGCCACCTCACTTGCAAGGTATCCTTCTTGCAGAAGTACGGACACTCAGGAAGTTGTGACCCAGTGGCCAGTTCACTGTATATAAGGCCACGAGTCATCCAATGAGTATGGCTGAGTCAGTGCAGTCATTGTTGCCTTAGCAATGAGCGTATACTTGAGGAATTAGGACATTCCAGAACCTGAGAGTTAGTGACTTCATCCTGCCAAAAGATACACTATATACATATGAGACGGCGAAGGTGGAAACTGTCCAGCCTTTGTTCTGCTTAGTATGCATTGTCTAGGTCTGATAAATAGAGAAGAATGCACTGAGGATGCAGGTTTAGTAGGTTCGCAGTTTGATGTTCTCAGGATGCTATACCACACTGTCTCACTGAGATCATACAGAGCAGCTGTGTGATGTGTGTGTTGATTTCAGCATTTGGTGACAGATTGGTGGTTGTGGAACCTTGATATGTAAAGGTTTAGTGTTACACTATTAAGAGCAGTGTAGCAATGTCTTGGAAAGTGACAGTAGCCTTTCTGATGCTGATGATCTAACCAAGCCCTTTCCAGGCATGAGAGTGTCTGCTCATTTGCTGCTGAGGATGTTTCTCGATGTGAAATTATTCTGCAGCATCGTTGGTGGAGCAACTTGCTGCTGATGATTTGGTGCACTTTAGTCTTGGATCTCGGGTAAGGCAGGTTGAACAGATCTCTGTCAATTCTGGTATATAAGTAGACCCCTCTGTAAATTACCTGGCGACATATGACAGCGGCAAAGAGGAGAATATGCCAAATGTGTGAGTGCCAAAACACAGTCCTATTTCTTGAAGGTTTCTGACCTTGACCTTTTCTATTTCATTGTCGTGGAAACAGGAGATCACATTTATCAGTCGTACCCAATGCTCATCAACAGCGTAAGTCGACCACCTTTGCTCAGGTAGTTAATTGCTTTTATGAGCTTACCGTGGAAATGCACACCAGTCTCCTCTGTTCATGACATTTCATCCTTCAAGTCTGTAGTGGAGAGAATGTGCTAATTCTATATTTTCTAGTTCTGATACCACCCTGGGATTTGGGGTGGATGTGATCTGCAGTCTGACAACGGCAACACAAACAAATACTTCACCTGTGATGCACGGCGAAGGAGATACTTGGATCATTGTTACGATCACTGTGGTTGTCTTTGTTCTTGTACAGAGTCACAGTTGTTGGAGCATGCAAATTCCTGAGGTACTGCTCCCTCCCTCCAGCAGAGGTAGGGAAGTTTGTGTAGATGCTGCAGGAGTGCTGGTTTCTCCTGCTAAATGAGTTCGGATGGTATGGCATCAGCATCAGCACTTTGAACTATGCCAGTGAGTCACTAACTTCGCTAATTTCCTCAACTGTGGGGTCAATATCCAGCTTCAATGTCCAGAGCACCCATTCTTTTATGTCAGTCTGGGCTTATCTCTTGTAACTGCTATGTCATTTTAATGCTCTGCAGTGAAACTGGAGTGTCCTTTCTGGGACACAATCTGAGGCAAAATCTATGTAGGCCCTAGGCTGCCCCAAAAGCCAGGGTACTCTTCTTGATCTCCGTAGTTTATTCAAAATTAATGCAAAACACCCTGCTTGGCGTTGGCTAATTGCAAGAGTTGCCAGAAGGCAGCATACCTAGATGTCAGTTCGCCTATGGGTTTCACTCTAGTGTTTTGTCTGCGTTTGCTTCCTCAGCATCAGCTTTCCAAAGTATCCATATACAGTGGAGTTACATTTCCATAGCTTGGAGTTTGAATCATGAATTCCTGGGCCTGTCCACTTGCAAACCTGCACATTACATCTAGGAATCAAACCTCCATCGGGGTTTCCTGAAGATGCAGCTTGGGGCTGCTAGAGACCCAGTTTCACCAGAAGGAGACACTAGTTAATGGGAGAGACTGATAAGAAATGGCTTACACGTTTGGTTGACCTTTCACGTTACAACTGGGTAGCGGTGTAGGCTGAAAATGAGAAGCAAATAAGTATGCGCAAGCTGAAAGATGTTAAGTTTCTTTATCCACATACTGGACTATATGTGGATGCATTGGAATCAACTGTGGGAGGAACACTGATGGAATATGAAGCAGGGACTTGGAGACTGGAGCAAAGAACATTGGGAACGTGCGATGTATGGGCCAGGAGCAGGACTAAGAGCTGAAATGGGAGAGGAAAGAGACAAACACTGATGTGTACTGCTCCCTCTAGTTGTTCCTTTTCCCTCCTTATAATTGCCTACTTGACATTTATTGCTCCACTTTCAGTCATACTTATCACTTTTTCTTGCCAAAACGAGCTTATCCCAACATGAATATAACAGAATGAATGATTTGGGATAGGTTAGATCAATGTGAGTGTTTTCCCTCCTGCTTTTCTCTATATCCTTAATTGAATATATACGTTTGCTCTTGATGCAGATTTGCCATGTTAGACTTTTAAATTGATCCCACTGGCCAGGCAGCTACCCATCCCTACCTTTCTGGTGGGTTTTCAGTCTCCACACTAGAAGATTGACTCCCATTCAGTTCAGGGCTCAGCATAGGCTGGAAGACCTGGACATGGATTAGGGCTGAATGCTGGACTCTGGAGCGTGTGTGTCAGTGAAGGACCACTCTCTTTTTGATGAGCAGTTTATCAGATGTCAATTGTGGCTTATGAGCAGTTGTGACATCAGTGGAATGAACCATTGGTTCCAAAATGCAGGGATTCCTAAACAAAGTGGTCGTTCCCAGATTACCTTATTTTATGCTTAAAGATTGCAGGGTGATGGTAAGAAGGACGAACCTCCAGTCTTTTATATCAGTTTACAACAGTCAGGAAGAAGGTGTTAGTTGTGGTTGTTTGGTAGCTGTCTTGATTCAAAATAGAGAAGGTCACAATGCAGAGGTTGCATTGACACTGTACTGTGGAACTGATAAAGTGCTATATTGTTGGAGATATCATTTTTCAGATCAGATGTTAAGCCATGGCTCTGTCTGGCCCCTCACACCATCCTATTTCAAAGAAGAGCAGGAGAATACCTGGCTTCGTAGTAATAATTGTGCCTCACAGATTAGAAGGTGTTGGTTCTGATCTAGGGTCCCTGCTGAGCTAGTTGATTTATGTGTTGTTTTTTGGCCTTAGCATCCGAGGTGATGAAGGGCAAGATGGTAAATGAGCCAAACTTTGTTGCCACTTACTTGATTGCAGTCAGAGCCACATTCCCTGATGGTTTGGGTGGACAGCAGATTGAATCGAGAGAGGGCTGGGCAATGGAAGCTCATGCAGTTGAAAGACCTATTGCTGCTTGTTGCCTGGGTTAATGTGTAAGTAGTGGCCAGCAGCCGTGGTCTGCTATTGCCAATGGATGGCACCCTAGTCAGCAGTTGGAAATCAGAAAGTGTTAATCACTGTCCTCTGTGATATGGGTGTTGGATAACTGGTTAGGCCCCAACTGTTGTGTTGTCTGTCCAATTCTAGGCACTCCATTTTAGGCTTTGGAGGGAGTGGAAAGTAGACTCATTGGCCTGAATGACTGCAACTTTGTGGAGATATTTGAGAATCTAGGGTTGTTTGTCACAGAGCAGAGAACGTTCATGCGAGATTTAATGAAGGGCTTCAGAATTGAGTGGTTTGATAGAATAGCCAGGGTGAAACTGTTTCCTGTGGTGGCAGTGTTGTTAAGCAGAGGCCACTAGAGATAGTTATTGAAAAAACTAGAGGGGCGATGATAATTTTGTTTTAGGCCGCAGCTTGTTTTGATCTGCAAAGCACTGATTGGAAGGGTTGTTGAAACCGGTTCAACGGTAGCTGTCAAAAAGGAACTGGGATCAGACCACAGAAAGGGAAAGTTTGCAGTACTGCAGAGAAGAAGGCAGAGTGTGGGACGAATTGGAAAGTGTTTTCAAATAGCTGGTATTGGCCAAATGGGTTTCCAAGCTGGACACTTCTAAGCTGTGATTCCACTGAGGAGGAAGTGGGTTGTTGATACGCGCCATCAAGTGCAGTGATGCTGACTGGACCACTTTCCCATTTACAGGACACCCCCAAACCAAGAAAGATGCTGGGTAGGCCGAAGCCTGGCGAATCGGAGGATGATCTCCTTCTGTTCCAGCAGCAGTTCCTCGCAGCAGGAACATCTCCAGCTGCCAAGATTGTAAACAAGAGGAAGGTGCAATCACAGAATGCTGACAGAATCCCAGTCAATGCAGTCCCACGGGACACAGTCACATTGGAAGGTTTGAATTGGATTTTCATTATGTAACTTTACGGTGGGAATCAGATGCTTGATCTAATATAGTGGTGTGGGGAATGTAAAGAAGTAAACCATTCTTTTCCCTCTAAGAACTTGTAGTATTGGGACACTTTTTTGTTTATTATTTGAAGTAATAAGAGCAATGGATAAAAATATGGGTGGGTCAATACCTGGAGATTGTACCACTATTCAATCAAAACATAGCCTATTAGCAATTCAATCTCATTATCCTGTTACAGCTCTATATTCAGTTTTATTACCGAACAATCCATCTCAACTTTGAAAGCTCCAGTTGATGCATAGCCTTCTGGCAGGGGGTTGCGACTCCAGACTTCCACTACCCTTTGTGTGTTTCTCCTGAATGACATAACTCTAAGATTATCTTTCCTTGTTCTTGGTTCCTCAACAAGACAAAATGGTTTTTCTCTATTAAATTGCTTTAACATCTGAAGTGCCTTGATCAGATCACTTCTCAGCCTAACAAAGTGAAAGACTAATCAGATGAAATTGGACAAATTAAAGACTGAGGTTTTCAAACCTTTATCCAGTTTTCCTAAAGCAGAATGCTGTGTTGGAACATTAAGCGCTAGTTTTGTGTAAGAGCTCCACTCTGTCTTGTTTCTTTTTTTAGCCTGCTGTTCATGACAAACCTGTCTGGGATTTACTTGCATTTCCTGTTACTGTAATACTGTTAGTTTTAATAATGGACCTGTGCTGTATCTCTGAATATTGGGAATCCCATACCTCCCAAGAGTCAGGACAAGCATCAGCTTCTTGAGCCTACATCCCTATTAACATACCGTTATAAGGATGTAGAGGCACTAGGGAAGGTGTAGAGAAGATTTACGGATGTGTTATATTATAGAGGTCATAACTATTGTGAAGAGTTTTAAGATAGGGTATAAAGAGAGTGTCTCACATAAGAACATAACTAGACACATCAATACAAGATAATCACTTAGAAATCCTTTAGGGAATTTTTTCACTTCAGCATGGTGGAAATGTGGAACTTGCCACTACAGGAGGTGATTGAACTAAATGGCATTGATGCATTTGTGATGATATACGCTTATGAGGGGATGGGGTTATTGGGTTACAATGATAGATTAGAAGTGCACAGATGAAGGAAGGCTGGCCCATAAACATCATGACACGTTGAACCGAATGATCTTTTCCTGTACAGTTTATCCTGTGTAATTCTACATTGTTTATTCCCAGCTCCCACATTTCTCCTTTAAAATTTGAGGTAGATATATGTAAAGGGAGATTTTAGTAATTCAGGAACCTCTCCCAGATGCCTTGTACTGTGTATGGTGATACTAACAGTGGTTTAATTTCCGCACCATCTGAGGTCACCGCCAATGTCCTGCCTTCTCAACCATACCGCTTATCTGAGATATGGTGACCCTCAGGTTAAACTCATCACCAGTCGTCTATCCCTAATGAGAGTGCAGCCTTATGGTCTTCTGGGGCCATGGCAACTTTACTGCATACTCCACATTGACACTGTTTTCTATTTCTGACAATGCACTTTTGAGGCACCACTTTGAAACACAGTCAGGTTTATAAAAGAAGGGGTGGCCCAGTGGCTCAGTGATTAGCACTGCTGCCTCACAGCGCCAGGGACCCGGGTTCGATTCCACTCCGGCGACCGTCTGTGTGGAGTTTGCACGTTCTCCCCGTGTCTGCGTGGGTTTGCTCCGGTTTCCTCCCACAGTTCAAAGATGTGCAGGCTAGGTGGATTGGCCATGCTAAATTGCCCGTAGTGTTCAGGGATGTGTAGCTTAGATGGGTTATGGGGGATTGGTCTGAGTGTGATGCTCCGAGGTTTGGTGTGGACTTGTTAGGCCGAAGGGCCTGTTTCCACACTGTAGGAATTCTATGTTCTATGATATTAGCGTGATTTTATGAAGGAGAACTCTAGTAGGGTAGATGAAGGAGAACTAGTACAAAACGGACCAGTTTTCTATACTTAACACAAATTACTATTCATTACAGATAAATTGTTTATAACTACAGGTAAACAGCTGTAAACTGGTAAACACACCACTTTACTTGTTAAACTTTAACTGACCCAACTAACTACACATGATCTC